GCCGTGTGTGTGTCCGTTATATGGAGGTGGACGGGATAGTATCCACAGGCTTTGTGTTTGCACGACAAGTTTTGAGGAGAACGAGGAGATTGTCATGGCCTCAATTCGTGCCGAAGCGCTCACTGATCTGTCGGATGGGGATATCATGCTCTTTTGTCGTGGGGTCTTTTAGCACCCCGAAGCCGCGTGGCCGCCGTGGCCTGCCCCGCTCGCGATGTGAGGTGAGTAATCGATCGGAGGGTTTTCCTGAAGGTGGGAACGAGGACATGGCTGGTGATTTGTGTTTGGACGGTTCCTGCTTCAGGCATCTTGTTGCTGACTTCTGCCGTGCAGGTTGAGGGCTCTGCTGCACGGGCGAGGAAGGGCACTTGCTCTCCTGAGTCGATGGTCTTGTGCTCAGCCCCTTGCCGCAGCGTGCACCAGCAGCTGAATTCACTGCGCTGGGCATGGCCAGCCTTCAGACGGTTGCAGATGCCCCGGATTTGTTCTGATTATTTGGCCGTGCTTACGCAGTTTAATTCGCCAGCATCCGAGCGATTAAAGCATTATCATACAAGCGCAAGTGCGCTTATGTGTTTTTCCCCAAACATCCTGTGGTGTTGGGTCCTCGTTTTGAAGAAACGGTCCCCGCGTTCCTCTCCTCTCCTCTCCTTCCTCCTCCTCCCCCTCCTCCTCCTCCTTCCTCCTCCCTGCTCCGTAGCCATTTTGGCTCAAGGTTTTGGTTTCCCCTGGGAACAAAGTGGATACCGCTAGTCCGCGGCCAGCTTTCAACTTTCGCCTGGTTCGCCCCAGGCTGAGCGGTGCGTGGTCCGCCCCACGCATCGCAGCTTTCACCACGACTAGGCTGTGCGCTGGTCGGTGGTCAGTCCATAGAGCCACTCTTTCGGCATGGCGTGGGGCAAGGCAAAAGGCGGAGGCAAAGGCTTGTCTTACTGCGATGTTTGGCCTCCTCTTGTGCCTGGTCCTCTGTTCTGCAAGGGCGGCGGCGGTGTGCAGGATCAGGCCGACAACCAGCTGCCAGGCAAGAAGTGGAAGTGCCAGGCTTGCGGTTGCGCCAAGAATGCCGCCCGGTCTTATTATTGCAAACACTGTGGAGCCTATAAGCAAGTCCCAACTTCGGCATGGTCTGGTGATGCAGCGCGTCAATTGTTCGGCTACGGGCAGCTCAACGGAGGCGCTGCGTGGGGCAAGGGTCGAGGCGGTGGCGAAGCAGAGCAGCAACAGAAAGGAACTGGAGGTGGCTACCCCAAGGGAGGCGGCCAGCAACCCGTTCCTGCTGGTGCTGCTGCAGCAAAGTTCACCGCCGCGGAGTACGAGACCATGGCAGGCTTCGCTGAACGTATGGGAGATTCTGCAGGCGCAGCAGCCCATCGTCGTGCAGCCAAGGCCCTCACCGCGCCGAAGCAGGCAGAAGAAGCTATTCAGGTTCGCCTCAATCGGGCCCACTGGAAAGTACATGGGATCAACAAGCGTTTGGAGTCTGCAGTTGAGAAGTACGAACAGTACGAAGCTCAGCTCAACAATCAGAAGACGGTGGTGCTGGAGCTGCACGCGGAGCTCACCAATGCAGAAGGCGAGCATGCGACTCTCTTGCAGGACTTGGTTGAGTCTCAAGAGGCAGCTAAGCAGCCACCCACGTCTGCGGTCCAGCTTGCGTTGGAGGACATCATGGATCAGGAGCGTCTCGCGAAGGTCTTTGACATCAGCGTTTCGGACCTGTTCAGGTGTGACGGTGTGGAGCTTGACGAGGCGGACACCATCGAGATCGAGTCACGTGTGCAACAGCTCAAGGCGGGGCTCACGGCGATGGCGGGCACCCTCTTCGCCGAGGCCAAGCAGAAGGTCGACGGCCTCAAGTCCGCCCACGCGCAGCACATCAAGAGGCTTGCGGCCACGCGGCCTCGAGTGGAGCAGGAAGCGGCCTTCGAGGAACCTCCTGATGCTGGTGCACCCGCCGAAGGAGATGATGGCGCAGCCCCGCCGTCTGCTGCCGAGGTGGCGCCAGGCACGGCACCTGCGCCTGGCACTCCGCAGGCAGCCTCGGTCGGCCAGTTCGCGGGCAAGGGCGTTCCTCTTCTCCCTGGAGCTGTTCCAGGCGGAGGTGGCGCAGCCGCGTCAGGCGCAGCGGGCGCTGCGGCAGCGGCTCCGACCACGCTTTCTACGACAGGCGCTGCTCGTGAGCGCGCTGACCGCATTGCCGCGGCCACTCACGCAGTCAACGATTAGCTACCCCCTGGAGGCCAGCCCTGATGCTCGTCGCCTCCTCGAGTCGTCGGTCGATTGGGGTCCGCAGGTCCTTCGCTCGGAAGGCTGCCTCCAGGGGGGGTTTGAAGCACGTTATATACCTCTGCACACGGAGTTCCGCTCAGTAGCGCAAGCTGCCCTCATCCGCAAGAGGGGAACGCTTCGACGCAAGGCTGATCGGACCCCTGTCTTTGCCCCTGTGTCTTTGCTGGACTTCGCGATGCCAAGGGTTTTGTATCCTGTTCACTCCCTTGGTAAGCCAGCGCGCAAGGATGCCGCGGACGGGGCTGTCCCGCACGTGGCCACTTATGTTTGCCCCCCCGTGGAGGGGGGATCTCGTCCCCAAGTTGAGCTCGTCGCGCTCGGAAATTTAAAGCCAGGATGCTCCAAGGGCACATTCGAACCCTTGGATTCTCAGAGGGCTCAGCACCCCTCTGACTGTTTCAATTCGGCAGCGCACTCTGTCAGCAATGTCAGCCTGCCTGTGCCTGCTCCTCTTGTCGGCAGCGAGCGGCCATCGGCCTCTAACTCTGACAGTTTGGTGCCACTCACGATTCAGACCATCAACGCCAACTCGTGGGGAACGTTGAAGGGTTTGCTCGAAGATTGCTCAGCCCACATTGTGCTCGGCCAGGAGCACCGTCTGATCTCCAAAGAGGACATCGAGCAGGCCAGTGCTTGGTGCATAAGGCATGGATGGAAGTCGGTTTGGGCCCCTGCTATCCCCGCCCAAGCGCAGGACACGAGTGGGGGTGTTGCCATTTTCGTGCGCTCTTGGATGGGGCTTCTGGGGGTCGAGGATGCCATCACGACGCCTGGGCGATGCATCGCGTGTTCTGCGCACCTCCCTGGGACTCCCCCCATCCTGGTTGCTTCTGCCTACCTTCACCACTCAGGACGCCTCAGCGATGATAATCTTTCTCTGCTCGCGAGGCTCGGCGAGCAACTTTCGGCGGTCGGCCAGCCGTGGGTGCTCGGTGCCGACTTTAATCTGGAGCCTGCTGAGCTCGAGTCGTCCAGTTTTGTGTCTGAGTTGAGGGCTGCCCTCATCTTCCCCGTTGTCGCGACGCACTATCCTGCGGGCCCTCCCACGACGTTCGACTACTTCGTTTGTTCGGGCGGTCTTGCGAAGGGTCTCAAGTCGGTCGATACGAGATTGGATACTGCCCCCATACGGAGCAGTTGGTGTTCCACCCCAAGCTGGCGGTGCTTCGCGCTCTCTCGTTCAGGAAGCCTCCCCCCCTGCCTTGTCAGGTTGTTGTCGGCCCTGCCCCCAGGGAAAGTTGTTGGGCTGGGGAACTTGCGCTGGCGTCCGGGGCTGAACGTTGTCTTCAGAATGGAGACGGTCAGGGGGCCAAACGTCTTCTGGGCCCTCTCTACAGGAAGTGGGCCGACCACGCTGAACGTGACCTTATTCCCCTGGTGGGCGTTGCCCCCCCCAAGTTGGGCTCCAGGGGCTTGGGTCCTCAACTTGTGTGGAAACCTATCTTGGGCCAGGATGGTAAGGTGCGTTATCCTGGTCATCGCGCGATCCGTTGGCTCGGGCAACAGCTTCGCGCCTTCATGCACGCTCGGCGCGGAGGCGCTGCCGCCACTGCTGCCAGGCTCAGTTGCGTGTTGGTGGAGCCCCCGCCCAGCATCTCGGCCGCAGTGGAAGACTACGAGCCGCTGTTCAAGCGAGCGGCTCAGGAGGTCTCCGCCCTTGGCTCTGGTGGGGACGTTGAGTCGCTCGCTGATCTGTACACTCAGGTTCACGAGGCCGTCAAGGCCGCCAGCACCAAGTACGCCGCCAAGAGCCGATCAGACTGGGCTGCTTGGCTGCATGTTGGCATCAATAAGGGGGCTAAAAGGGCTCATCAATTCATTAAAGATCCTGTTCCGTGGGTCCCCTCTTCGACTCTCTCTGCTGCAGGGTGCGTCGTCAGTGATCCTCTCCCCTGCTCAAGGCGGAGGGAGAGAGGTTCAGCAGCATATGGGGTGAGGGTCGAGGGGCCGAGTTTGATGGTCAGGTCATCGAGCCTCTTCCACGACCCACGGCCAGCGAAATCCGTGATATCTCTAAGTCCTACAAAGATTCTTCGGCCGTGGCTGTGGACGGATTTCACTGCAAGCATTTCTCTTTGTTGCCAGATGCTGCTCTCGATTGCCGCAGTGCCATTTTTTCTGCCATGGAAGCGCTAGGCTGCCTTCCTCCGCAGGTCTCTGTCGTCACTTTGGCGCTTCTGCCGAAGCAGGCCGATTGGGGTGTTCTGCTCCTGGTTCAGGGTTTGGGGCCGCTGTCGGCGGCCCTTTGCCTTGAACTGGGAGCAAGAACACCCCAAACGGTACTGGGCTGCTGGTAGGTTTCGCGGAGCTGCCGATGTGGTTTGGCGTCAAGCTGTCACCGCCGAGACGGGTCTTGCCATCGGGGGGTCCTCATGTTCTGTTTTCTTCGATCTTCGCAAGTTATATGAGAACATCAGTCTGAAAGAGCTCGAGGTCCGTTGCAAGAAACATGGATTCCCTCTTGCGATTGCCCGTCTTTGCATTTATGCCTACAGGTGTGGGCGCTTTCTCTGTCTAGGAGGGTGGCTGGAAGGCCCCTACTTCTGCCTGAATGGGGTTATCGCAGGGTGCTCGATGGCCACCACGTTCATTCGTGTTTTTTTTGCCAGGACGGATACGATTCCCTTCCCTCCATCCCCAGGCTCGACTTCGATGTGTATATCGACGACCAGGGTCTCTCGTGTACGGGCCAACATCGGACCGTGGTCAAATCGATCGTCGAAGGGGCCAAGGCGCTCCACGGCATCGTTGAGTCTTGTTTCGGTTGCTCCCTCGCCCTGGACAAGACCGCTGTTGTTGCTTCCTCGAAGGCCCTTGGGGATGAGGTTTCTGTTGAGATTTCGCATTTAGGAGGTAATTTTACGTCGAGTGCTGTCAACTTAGGCGTTGACTACACGGCTGGCCGCGCGCTTAGGGTGGCGGGGCGCTCGGTGAAGTCCAAAATGCGCATCGCCAAGGCTGTGAGGGCGGCCAAGGGATTAAAGCGTCAGATTAAAGTCATCTCTCGGCCGCAGGTTCTCAGGGTGTTCTCCTCGGGGCCCCTCTCGGGGGCTTCTTATGGCACTGAAATTTCTGGCACTAGCGACCTTGAGTTGCTTCGCCTCCGTCGTCAAGTTTTCTCGGTGGTCCGACCTCGATCTCAGTTGAGATCTCTGACGACGGCGGCTCTGCTCGATTATGATCCGTGCTGGCGCTCTGCCACCGCCCCCATCCTCCGTTGGTCCAAGGAGATCTGGCTGGCCCAGACTGGGGCCTACTCTTGGGGTTTGGGTTTTCCCTCGTTGCGTCGTGCGTGGGAAGCTGTGTTCTCCAACCCTGCCTGCTCCTGGAGAGCGGTCGCGGGCCCCGTGTCGGCCCCTCGGATGTCCCTGGTTAGGCTGGGCTGGTGCATGGACAACTTCATGACGGTGCGAGATGACCGTGGCTTCTCTATTCCCCTCGGCATTGTCTCGCCTGCCTTATTCAGGATCTTGCTCAAGGACGGTTATTTTAGGATGTTGGAGCGCCTCTCCGCCGAAAAGAGGGGAGTTCTCCCGAGGATATGCTATGATGTGCTGCGCGAGGCCCCGGCCTCCAAGAAATACACGGCCCTCCAGAAGGCCCACATCAGAGCGTTCGCCACAGAAGCCTTTTTCACTGGAGATCGTGCTGTGAGCTTAGGCTACGTCGTGGACGGCAGTTGCCCGTTCTGCGGCGCCTCGGACACGATCTTCCACCGGTTGTGGGAGTGCCCCCACGAGCCAGTGGCTGAGCTTAGATCTTCTCTAGTTGACGCTCGCACTGTAGCCGAAGCCTTAGCAGCTAAGGACGACGAGGAAGCTGCGTTCGTTTTTATATCTGGGGCTTTCCGCCACCCCGCCGACGGGTACCCCAGGCCCCTCACTGAGACGGACAATGGCCCGTTTCTTGTGTGGCACCACCAAGATATCTCGTCGCCCTCTGGGGCTACGCCTGGCATTGAAGTTTGGGGTAGCGTTTTCATTGGCGGCTCTAGCAGCCGTCGCACTGTTCGGGAGCTCTCCAGGGCTGGCTGCAGTGTGGTGATGGTCGACGACCAAGGGTCGGCCGTCGCCGAGTTTCGGGCCCCCGTGTGGGCCCCATATCCTCAGACGCTTCAGTCGGCCGAGTTCAGCTGCTGGACTTGGGCCAATGTGCTCGCGTCGGCCTGCATCGATGTTTTCTCTGATTGCAGCAATGTGGTCAATCTAGCCTGTCGGCCCAAGGCCGAGCAGCTGTGTGGGAAGAGGGCCTACTCAGGGGCTTTCCTCCAACTCTATGCCCAAGGTATCTCGCCTTCCACGTGCACTAAAGTCGCAGCTCACAAGGAGCTGGATGAGGCGGGGATCGACGCTGCTGGGCGCTGGAGGCGCCTCGGCTACCATCATGCGGACGCGGCAGCCAAGCACGCAGTGCATCTGCATCCTTCGTGTCCAGACAAGCTAGCGGCTGCCGATAAGCTTGTCACGCAGGCGCGCCAGACTATCAGGCTGGCGGCCCATGTAATGCATGTGTGGCCTACCTTGGACCTCTCCGAGGTAGGACGAATTCCAGCCCCGCCTGCCGCTGCTGCAGCGTCCGCAGGGCATCGCTGGGAAATGTGGTCTGGAGTGTGGCGCTGTGCTGTTTGCCTCAGAGGCAAGCGATCTCAGAGTAGACCCTTGCCAGGTGTCTGTTCTCAGGTTTCTCGGCTTCACGCGTCCAGTCAGGACGCCCTCGAGCACCGTACGATAGCGTTCGACTGCTCTGATGGCTCGGTTTTGTTTATTTGCACTAGGTGCAAGGCGCATTCCAGTGGAGCCTCTGTCCGCGGGTTAGCCGCCAAGTGCCAGCCGCCTCCGTCGCGCGCAGCGAAGTACGGCTGGGAAGCCCTGTGCAAAGGCAAACACCCGCATTATAGGCAGCAGAAA